AAACATTGATACTGATACATTGATTTGTGGAATTATATTCAGTTGTAATTTTTCTAGACCGTAAGAATTGTTTGTTTTGAATTTCGCGCAAAGCTACACGAGGACTATCTGCGCTAGCCGTCCCTAATTTAGCACTGAAAGGCTAGAGGGAAGGCAGCTAGTCATCACCACCCATCGCCAACTCTTGGGCTACTCTTTTTCCAACGAATAGTGAAATTGGCCGTCGCATTATAACGCTTCCACAGCTGAAAGGGCGAGCAAGACGGGGATTCGAACCCGCGACCTTCAGATTGCGAGCCAAGCGCCCTAGCCATCTGGCCATATCAGGCCGATCGTAAAATATGCTTTCCGTTATCTAGTGTTCAATATTAGGCAAAGTTAGGTATCCAACGAAGAGTAAAGAAGCATAAACACTCTCTAAGCTGTTTATAATAAGGAATTATGGGTATTCAACTGGAAGTAAAAAAATGTAGTTTTCATAAAAGGTGAGGTAAATTATAAAAGAGAAGTCATACAAACTCTTATTGATAACAAAATCCCTGCCTTGATCAGCCGATAACTGAAGATTTGTCACCTAAGGTGACATCACACATTTTCTTATTACAGTTAATCTTACCCTGAATTTGAACAAAACGTAATCGCTAAATTTCATTTCAAAGTGGGCTTGCTTCAAACTCTATCTTGTAATGGTAAAGTTTATTGGTGTATACAAATACAAGGGCTACAACAACACACGTTCAACCCCTGGAGTCATTTAAAGTATCTTTAGTTGACATTTTCTGTTGTCCTACCCTCTACCATATATGGTCATACTACTTGGATTTCCACTTCTCCTACCTTTTATACTGGTCGTCTGGTATGGAACGATATGCCCTACGGATAACTTTCAACATCACAAAACTAGTCCAAGAAAGGAGTCGTATGATTGAATCACTTTTCCTTCTACACTTTTACATCGCATTATATAACGATGTTTTCTATCTCAGAATGTGATATTTTATTATTTCCTAAGCCAGAATGTTCATTCTCCGGGGAATCTCTTGCCTCTAACATACCATCTCTTAAACTTGTATGATATGTCGTTTCTAGTCTTATTACTTGAATATTTCAATATTTCCTTCTTACTTACTTACTAGCTACTTTCCTTCTGTGAAATTAGCGCAGATAGCCCTCGTGTAGCTTTGCGCGAAATTCCTTTCTAAATCATAACTTCGTCCACACTCCCGTCTTTCTGAATCGATACACATATAAGGTCATCTTACGCTATCAATTGTCAAGTTCATTACATCTCTAGGCCAATCACAGGACACAATGGTCTTCCAGTACGTTGACTTGGAATTAAATCGCGTATTACTACTTTTTTATCACTGACCTGAATTTTGTTACATAATGTCAGCTTTTATGCATATAAGTCTCATCTCGGCGAGAATTATTAAAATAGTCGAATGTAAACGGTAGTTTCTAATATAGTATAATAAAATGTTTAGTGTTGCCCGGCATGGCTAGGTGGCAACTTGAGGGTCGCGGGTTCGACTCCCCGTCACACCAAGCATGCTCACCTGGTGTCCGAACTAGGATACTCCCGGATACTCACCTCCAACAGAGTTTGAAGGTGTGAGAAACACCATACGAAACTACTATAAAATGTTAAGTGAGGGGTAGAAATAATAACACTGTTTTTGCAGTCCATAAAGGGTCAGAGTTGAGTAGCTGACACTGAATAATGATATTTGAACACTTCGTATGCTATAATGACATGTTAATTAACATTGATTAATGAAGTTACATATATTACTGCATATATGGTGTATGGCAGGACACTTAGCGTTGATTAATAATAATATTATATGAGTTACGTATTAACAGCGCACTTAACATTGATTAACAATGTTACATACATATAAGAGGCTGTGTTGGATGTGGGTCGGTATTTAATAATAAGACAGGATAAACACTGTATGTGACCATTACACATAAGATTAAATATAAGCTTATAGAAACATCATGCATTGAATCCATATAAATAAACGTTAATATGTGTATGTATCTGTTCTTTATACGTTTCCCCATATCTTGATCAATCAGCACCAAACTTGACACAGTGATACAGGATGACACGAGGAAGGTTATGGGGTGGTGGTGACCTCCATCTAATTTTGGAAAACTACCAATGATGTATATCTCTCAGCATTAGAATGAACTATGTATCTCTTTTTCAGTATTGGTACATTTATGCATTGTTATTGCACTTTTAATGTTTATTATGTTAAGAAAAAAATATAAACACAATTTCCTATCCTTCGTTACAAACGTATTTCTATTTTACCCGTCTAGCGGACGGATACTCCAGCTGGTTTATAATAAAACATTATTGTGCCTATTGGAGAGAGTAGATTATAAACACTAGTACGGTGTTTACAATAAAGTATAGAATGGCACCTAGCGGTAGCTTTATAAACCCTAGTTGTACTTTATTATTTTGTATAAGAAATTACAGTCTGCTTGTTTCTTGTTAAGCACAAAGCTATACATTAGGCTATCTGTGCTCTGCCCACAGTGGGAATCGAAACCAGATTTTTAGCGTTATAATCATTCAAACTTACGGATGAACCACCGGAGAGCAAAATTATAGTAACTAATAGACATCAATGGGACCTTTATCTAAATTTCTACCTGTTTGAAGAAAAATAAAACTAGAAACTTTGTTATTTGTAAATTGATAAGGAGGAACACTTTCTATTAGTTTTTCTGTAAATAATTGAGAACTGATAAATAGTTTTGTAACGAGAATGTTTTAGTGCGTCATTATATCTTGTTTGTTTCTGACACTTTCCAAAACGGTCATGCTTGCCTGTACAGAAGAGAGAGAGAAACCATCCACCTAACTACTTGCCTGTACAGAAGAGAGAGAGAAACCATCCACCTAACTACTTGCCTGTACAGAAGAGAGAGAGAAACCATCCACCTAACTACTTGCCTGTACAGAAGAGAGAGAGAGAAACCATCCACCTAACTACTTGCCTGTACAGAAGAGAGAGAGAAACCATCCACCTAACTACTTGCCTGTACAGAAGAGAGAGAGAGAAACCATCCACCTAACTACTTGCCTGTACAGAAGAGAGAGAGAAACCATCCACCTAACTACTTGCCTGTACAGAAGAGAGAGAGAAACCATCCACCTAACTACTTGCCTGTACAGAAGAGAGAGAGAAACCATCCACCTAACTACTTGCCTGTACAGAAGAGAGAAACCATCCACCTAATTAACATCTGTAATTCCACAATACACCGATCTGTCGTTTTAAAGAATCGTTGTTATTAAACAGAGTTAACTCTAGTAGAGCTAATAAAGATAATTCAAACATACAAATCTCAGTAATTGTCTTGCTTTCTATACTTTAGCATAGAGCCTTTAAACTCTTTTCCGAAAAGATCCACTCTTTATAGAAATAGACTCCAAAGCTACGAGGTTGTGGAATAATGCGTTTTAAAAGGCTTAAACTGTTAATCGCTCATGAAATATCATAACATAGAAATATGTTTCTACATACATATATATATACAATTTCTTAGATAATTAAAATTAAAGAAAATCTTTCTTACTAATTGGGTAATTAATTTTACTTGAAAAATAAATAATTCTGAATATCAACTTATCTGTTATGAATCACTCATCTTAATGCATTTCGAAGAAGAACCCAACGGCAAATATAAATTCTTAACAAGACTACTTGTTATATGTTTAAAACATCTAAATATCTTTGACAAATTCTAACTATTTGTTTCGTGATTCCGACTGGACTTTCTTGTTTTAAAGATGTAATATGCAAATCAGAGACTGAAGACTTATATGAAAACGATTTCTTCAGGAAGTCTTTACCAAAAACCTTTCGAACTGTACTTTTATAGAATGATGACAGTATAGAAAGTTCATTTAGAGCACGATGGTGGTATGACCTACTAATATGCACTTGAAGATACAATATATTACATAAAGAAATGTGTACAGAAACAAATTGGTGTGATTTTTTTATAAGATAATAATATATATGAATTTGATTTAGAGGTAGGGGTAGGAAGGTTTGCTAGATACGCTTGAATACGTAGCACATATCAACAGACGTGTATATATATATATATATATAAACAAATTGGTGTGATTTTTTTATAAGATAATAATATATATGAATTTGATTTAGAGGTAGGGGTAGGAAGGTTTGCTAGATACGCTTGAATACGTAGCACATATCAACAGACGTTATATATATATATATATATATAAACAAATGGTTGTAATTTTATAAAATATTTAGGCCTCCGGTTGCTCTGAGGAAACCTTAAAGGCTTGTAGTGCTAAAAGTTGGGGTTCGATCCTTGCAATGGGAAAACGTATATAGCCATTTGTGCAGATGTGCGCTTAAACAAACAAAGACACAACATTTAAAGTTCATTAGAATATGGAATAGAGAGGTTTATTTGGAGATACAGTACGCACACAAAGACATCTACAGAAATAATAGCAGCTGAAGGGATTCGTTTATATGTATTTTACCTAATATTCTGACGCTCAAGTGTTGGAAGACAGTAGATACGGGTCTCAAAAACAAAATTAACATCTTGGTCATTTTGCATCGACGTTTCCTTGTATTTAAGCGCTTATTTTTTCCTAATATTTGAAAGATAAACGGGTTCATTTAACTTAATTGGGTTATAAGATCTAAAATCCACTTCTTTAAGCTTCTCTTCTCAAAACTCTTTAAGTGTCAAGAAGAACCTTCTGTAGCTTTGCCGTCACGCTATGTTTTATTACCCTCGCTTGCATTATCGTAACTATAACATTCAAGCAAGCATATTTCCCTCTTATGCATGTAATAAACAAAGAATAATTCGACCATACGACGCGCGTGGTCGTCTCCTTATTGCGCATCAAAATACACTACATATAGCGCCCCCATTGTCGACGCCGTAATCACTGGGTCCTTAGTTGTTCGAAAGAGATATATGAGTGGCGCGAGCAAGACCCGCTTTCAGTCCTTGAGAGCAATCGCTCGTTGAAGACGTGAGCTGCCGCCCGTTTTCTTCCTTAAGGAATAGAACTGTTAACAATTAGACCGACCACTCTTAAACAGCGACCAAGACGTTTCTGAGCAATCATATCTGTTTTATTTCTGTTTCCTCTACGTTAGTGTAACGGGTTTTAATGATCTGAGTGTTACGAGCAGCTATTGTTAACTCTCAAACAGAAAATATGTTAACGGTTTGATATGAATTAGAGGTACTTTAGTATAATCTTCACTGCGACTGGGATTTAACATAATCATGATCATTTGGAAGAAAACAGAACAGGAGCGAGAAGTGTCAAACTTCTTCTTTGGTTTTTTAATGGTTGTAGTTAAAGGTAAGAAATTTACTCACAAAATAATTTATATTTCATGACAATAATATATTTTAAAACTCTATAGGCCACTGAGCAATGATTGTTCCTCAGTTTATTACAGTAAATAACTCCAATTTGAAATATCTATATTATTATAATAGTCAGATATAATTAGTTATACATATACAAAACGTGGGTTATCCTCAAAATTAACTTTACATATCACCAATTAAATGCTTAAAGTATCAGAAAGTAAGATATTAAATAACTGTATATAAAATCTAAAGTTCACAGCTTAAAATATAGTTTTCTTCATCTTAAACTTTTGTTTAATTTTAATTTTAATTTTCTTGTTAGGGTTCCTTCAACTTCTAATCTCATTCGTCACATTCCCAGAATTAAAAAAAAAAACAGATGCTGTAAAACTCTGAGGAACACAGTCGTTTGAAACTGCGGAGAGAGTATTCAAAATGTAATAAATTAGAGAATATTAAACTCGTGTATTTCTTTATATATATATGAAAATTGTGCATTTCTTTATGTCAGTATATATAAAAGCCAAGTGTCGGTCGATCAGTCAGCTAGTCACGCTCGATTTCTTCAAATTTCGTGAGTTACAAGAGTCCAACTTCACTTTTGCTCCTATGATACTGGCCCGGCATGGCCAGGTGGTTAGGACGCTCGACTCGCAATCAGAGGGTCGCGGGTTCGAATCCCAGTCCCACCAAACATTCTCGCCCTTTCAGCCGTGGGGGCGTTATAATGTGACGGTCAATCCCACTATTCGTTGGTAAAAGAGTTGGCGGCGGGTGGTGATGACTAGCTGCCTCACCTCTAGTCTTTCACTGCTAACTTAGGGACGTCTAGCGCAGATAGCCCTCGTGTAGCTTTGCGCGAAATTCAAAAAAAACAAACAAACCTACGATACTTCCCTTTTGATTGCCCATTCCCATTTTAGTTGAATTTAATTGCTAACATAGGCGTAAATAGCTCCTAAATATCGGCACTTTTTCTGCTATATAAAAGTCTGTCAAGGAGGGATTTTCCAGGACCAGATCAGGTATGGCGTTATGTGTGTGACACCACATCATCTACATCATTACGACGTCAAGACAGGTAGGATACGAATAAGAAAGCCAGGAAATCTCTTGTGAAAAATAAGTAAAAAATTAGCAGAAATCTAT